GCTTCTCCCTCTCCCACTCCCCCTGCTTGTGTTCCCTCTCTCGCTGTGTCTCTCTCTGTCAAATAAATAAAATCTTAAATAAAATTAAATTAAATAAAATGACAGAATTCTCACTTTAAATTTTTCCAGTGAAACACTGTGATTGAAAAAAATCCCATACCAGTCTTTATTCTAACTCCAGAAGAAGAAGAAGAAAAGCTGCCCTAATTACCCATTTCTAGGACTAAAATATCTTTAACTGAACATACTTGAGAAAGATCATGATGAAAGTACTATGAGAACCTAGTTTACCCCCTCATTTTACTATGAGATGCAAGAATGATAGAATTCCTAGCCAGCCATCATTCTACCCAACCAGTAGTTTGTCAAAAAGGTATCTTACAGGTCCTATCAGCCTCAGAGAGTAAACCAAAAAGGAAGTCTTGCCATACTACGTTTAAGGCCTTTGTGAAATCGTGAGAGCTCACTGGGAATTTTTCACACTTTTTAGAAGGTCCAGCCAGATGCTCCCTGCTTGCTTCTGCATATTGGTCAGGATGGGAAGCAGGGCCTCCCCATTGCATAGCTCCTGGGGGAGCAATTCATGGAGAATCTATAGAGTTCTGTCTCCCAGCAGTGCCAGGAAAAAGTGGCTGCCAAGATGCTGTTAGTAATTAAGGACTTGGCAGCTGAGGGCAGCCAGTAAGCACATACTAGTTACTGTAACATCCAGGTAGAACAAGGGAAACTCCTTTAGGTTTAAGTGGGACTGGGACATGTTTGCAGTCACATTAATGCACCCCCTCCCCCCCCCTTGCATATGCACACACCCACCCACAGCTGTCGCTGGTACTTAAGAAATGAAGTGTGGCTCTGGCCACCTGGGAGCATGCATTCCCAAGCCCAATGCCCATTAACTCCATGTTAATTTAGTAAGGTGGTTGGTAGGCAGTGTTAAGACCCCAAATTTTTGTTCACTGATGCTTTGGATAAACATGCTTATTAAGGATCTTTGGCAAAAGATGTTCCTGTGTAATTAGCAAACATCTTAATTATACACTTGGACTTGAAGCTTGTGCTAATCTTAAAGTATAAAAATGACGCGAATTAGGTAAAGAGAAAAGGATTAGAAGGGAAGCCGCATAGCGTAACTCCATTACTAGAGTATAATAATTTATTCAAGTTTATTAAAATTTGAATTTGAAATAAATTCAACATATATTGAGTACCCATAAACACCATGGAAAGGATGTTATAGGAACACATGAGACACTATTACCAACTTTTAGGAGCTTTCATTTTAGAATATAGCGTGTATTAGAAGAGCAGCATAAAATTTTCAAGCGTTTTAGAAAGACTACTTTGAGTAATAAAAGTGTAATTAATTATGTAACTCCCCATGCTTTTAGAAAAGATATTGGATGAATACATGTGGCTGCAGAATCTGCACACTGAAAATATTACCCTGAGCTATTTTACAGAGTATTTATTACTCGATGTCAAGTGTGTCCCACATACATCCACAAAATCACAGGGTAAAGTTAAATGTACCTGAAATACTAAGCAGAATGTTGATAATCTGCTCACTAGGTTACAGGCTGCAGGACATAGCCTTGTGGATAAGTGCTAGAGAAAGCGTTAAGCTCTCTTCTTCGTGATATTTCATGGCTTTGACCTTAAATCAGCCAGGAGAATAAACACAGCATTATAGACCTAAGGCCTAAAACAAATAGGAGTTCTATAATTAATTTGCAAGCAAATATCACTTTTAATAAAAGTTGAAAATATAACCCTTGGCTATTTCTAGTCAATCAAATTATGGTTATCATCAGATGTAGTCCTACAACAAATGAGGACATTTTAATGAACTGGAATATTTTAAATATTTTCAAAATTATGGAAAGAATGGAAGTACCATTGAAATATTATTTCAGACGTTAGTAATAATTTCCAGTGTGTTTTTACTTTTCTTACCCAGTTAGCCCTCTACGAGCTAGGAGGGGGAAGCCTCATCAACTCCATTTTTCAGATGAATCAGTTGAGGCTTAGAGAAAAGTTCATGTGACACAGGCAGTTCCAAGTATCTGATTCCCCAAGTAATCACCGTAGGCTATTGAGAGGCACCTGGCTGATTTCTTTTCTTGGTGGTCTCTCACTCCTCCATTCCTCAGAATCATCTGAGTTCCCCACTGTAAGCTCGGCACTCTTGGGCAGGACTCGTTCGCAGCTTCCTGTTAGCATATGTGAATATGATACATTTGCTTTTCATTGAAACCGTTCCGAAAAATCAGATTTTTCTGCCACAAATCTTTTATTGAAGGAGGTACTCTATAAAGAAATGAAATGTTTTGAAATGACTTTTAAAATTGTTCTGCTGGGCGCCTGGGTGGCTCAGTTGGTTAAGCGACTGCCTTCGGCTCAGGTCATGATCCTGGAGTCCCTGGATCGAGTCCCGCATCGGGCTCCC